CAACCACCTGCACCTCTGGCTTGAGAGTTTGGGTTTATGGATCTCTCCTTTTTTGTGAAATGTCTATTCACAATTTAGTTTTTAGAACTGTGGTTGCCTCGATCCTTTCCTTAATGATGTGTAGACATTCTCAATGTACTCTGGATAAAGCGGTCCTTTGTCACATGATGTAAGGCAAATACGTCCTAGTCTGTGACTTGCCTCTGCATTATCTTGATGGTGGCCTCTGAAGTCCTGTTTATCTGTCATTTCCTTTATGTGTGTGTGTGTGTGTGTGCGCATGCACATGTGTGTGCACTGTTTAAAAATAATGACCAGAGAGGTCTTCCTCCAGAAGTTTTGCTGTCGGACCTCTGCCCCTCCAATAGCCTTTCCTGCCCTGGTGGTTCTGGCTTTTTTTGTACTATTTATTTCTTCCACTTTAATAGGAAATATGCCAGCATCCACCTCCTGCACAGCCCCTGGGGTTTTAGGAGGGCCATAAACATAGCTCTCGCCCTCCAGGCACTTTCAGCCGGAAAGGACACAGTGGTCCTCGCAGGTGCTGACACCTGAAGAGGAGTCCGTGGAGGCCCAAAGGCAGGGGTAGAGAGGCGGCTTGTCATCATGGGCAAGACGTCCCCACTGTGACTGCGGTTCCACAGCGACCTGCCCTACATCACTCAGAAATCACAGAGCAAGCCCGGGGCCTCAGCCTACTGGCCTGGCTGTGGCTGTTTCTGACTGCCGGGCCCAGGCGTGTGGGAAGGGGCTCAGGTAGCAGAGCTCTTTGTGGCTCTGTCCCCGTGAGGTGGAATTGCTTCGTGCTAAGCGCTCGTGTCTCCCACAGTCTGGAGCCACATGGCCCTTTCCACAAACTCGGCCTGCCAGACGGTGTCCCGGGCCGGATGCCTGGGCAAAGCTGTGCAAGGAGGAGTCCCTGGTCCTTTGAATGAGGCAATGGGATCTTGAGGTCTGACTTCGGAGGTTGTTTCGTGGGACGTTAGGCAGGAGGAAGTTCCACTTGCCCGAAGAAACCAACACCCCCGGAAGTGTTGGCCGTTGGGGTGCCATACCTGCCTCACCCCCGGGTGATCTGATGTCTGTGGAGGAGCCAGTGCAGTTGAGTGAGGGTGGCATCCGTCCCTGGGTAGTTATTATTATTATTATTACTTTTGAATTAATTTATCTTTATTGATGTATGTTTGCAATACATTATAATTGCGTTCATCTTGATGAATTAGCACCTATACCTATCACATCTTGATAATTTTTGTTGTTGTTGTCTTGTTTTTTGAGGCAGAGTCTCCCTTTGTAGTTCAGGCTGGCTGTGAGCTCACTATGTGCCCGGCTGGCCTGGACCTTGAGGTGACCCTCCTGCCTCAGCCTCCGGAGTGCTGGGATCACAGGCGTGGACCACCCCACCCAGCTCCCATCTTGATAATTTTTACTTCCCTTTCCCCACCCTCCCTTCTCTCCCTCTCCACATCCCCTTCTATCTCTGAAATGTCTGTCTTCTTGTTTTCTACCATCTCTCCTTTACTTTGCTTTTTAAATTATTTATGTTTTGGGTTTGTCATCTAAGAGAAAGCATGTGATATTTAACCTTCTGTATCTGATTTATTTCACTGAACATTATAGTCTTAAGATCCATTTTCCAACAGATGACTCAAGTTTATTCTTCTTTATGGCTGAATAGTACTCCATTGTGTATAAATACCATGTTGTCTTTATCTATTCATCTGTTGATGGACACATAGGCTTCTGTAAGTTTAGCTATTATGAATTGTGCTACTGCAAACATGGGTGTGGATGGATCATTATAATATGATGTTTTTAAAACTCTTTTGGGAAGATACCCAGGAGAAGTATAGCTGGTCAATGGAATTTTTAGTTTTAGTTTTTTTGAGGACTCTCTGTATTGTTTTCCATAGAATTAGACACCCCCCCAAAACAAAAGACCTACTTAGAAAAGGGCAGTTGAAGTGAATAGACACATGTCCAAAAAAAAAAAAATGGCCAAAAAGGACATGAAAAATGTTCAGCATATTTAGCCCTTAGAGAAATGAAAATCAAAACAACACGAAGAGGAGCCAGTGGCAGTTAGGCGGGCAGTGCCGTGTGGCATTGTTGCTCCACAGTTCACAGGCTGAGCGCCCTGCACGTGGGCCGGGCCCTCCTCCCAGAGACTCCAGGACCTGGCCACCTCTGACCTCCGGGCCAGCAGAGCGGTGCGTGCTTGGCCTCTCCCCAGACCGGTTTTGTTCGTTTTCTGCCTGAATTCGCATTGGTTCTTTTTCCTCTCTGTGGCGATGTCGAGGGACTATCAGGAAAATGGACCGGGGCTGTGTCAGCGTGTTATGACGCCGCCTCGTACCCACCTGGCTACTGGAATCTCCAGTAGTGAAGGGAATGCTCGAGGCTCTCCAGCACAGATGTTAGGAAAAGCCCTCCTAAGAGCCTCTACAAGGCCATCGCACTGGCCACTGTGCTGTTTTTGGTTGATGCCTTTCTTTTTTTAAAAATTTAATTTTGTTGGTACATTTTAGGTATACAATATAATGACATTCATCATTGGAAATTTGCACCTTTACATAATCTCTCTTGGTTCTTATTTTTTCCCCATTCCCTTGCCCTCTCTTCAACCCCTCTTTCTTATTATCCTAGGCTCCCTCCTGTTGTCGGGCTACATCAGCAAAGTGGGGGCAGACTGGGCGCCCCATCCTGATCTTTGGCATTCTGGTGTTCCTGCTAGGATTTTACCACCTTCGCATTGCCTACTACGTGTCCAAAAGCTAGTGGGGTTACTCCTACAATGACATTCTGGACTTTGATGACACCTCAGCCCAACAAGTCACAGTGGAACTACACCCATCTTTACAACATTGAGCAGAAGCCATGGCTAAGGGCTGAGGAATTTTGCAGTTAGTAGATGTTTAACAAATCAGCGGCCAGATTGTATGGGTCAATCTCAAAAATGTTCACTGAGCTTACAGTTAGCTAATTAGGACGTACTCTGTTTTCATTTCCTGGCCCTGGCAAAAGCTCAACATGTTTTTCCACATGAGTAGGTACCGGGGAGGAGTAGCACTGTTAATTACTTTAAAAAGCAGGACGTTATTTTGTAATGGAGAGTAGTACTACTACTGCCCTCTTTAAAGTTGAGGGTTTCTCTGAAATAGTCCTCATTGTCAGTTTGTCTTACAGCAAATAGAGCTTTCCAATATGTCTAATTTCCTTACTAAGTAATTTATTTTTAAAATATCTAAGTATCTTACCCCTCCCAATATATATCTCTCTGCACCTTCATGTTCTATGGGAGACTTGGGTAAAATCAGATATCAGTCTGGGTCCTTCTGTGATGTCTTTTACTAGCTTTGTTATTGACAGCAACCAGGAATTTTCTACACTATGGAGTGAGTTTTCAAAATACAGACATTTTCTCTAGTTTCTCAATAAGGTTGCCAACAAATTATTTGGGTCATTTTGTCCTTTGTAGATCAAGATGTTCTGTATGTCATGCCTTGAAGGACTAGACTTTTGACTGCTTGCTAATGAAAAATGCAGGGAAGTTGTTCAGGGTTTATAACATTTTTATTGACATCTGGGACTCCATTGTCCTTCTGATAATGATTGTTAAGACTGGCCTCACTCCCTGGAGGACTAGAATACCTTAGATTGATTCTGTTTCCTTACTTGGAAAAAAGGGACACATATTTAAAAGAAATTAAGAGGTCAAAATCCAAATCCTAGATTTAAATGAGTTCACTTTAAGCATATTTCAGAAAGCATTGTAATGATTTTATGATATCTTTGATCCCACTACCCAGGACTTTGTTTTTAGGTAACTGTTTTTAGGTAAATTATACTCTACTTTCCAAACTCTTTTTTTTTGAGACACAGTCTCACCATGTAGTTTAGGCTGGCTTTGGGCTTGCTGTGTAGCCCAAGCCGGCCTCAGATTTGCAGCAATCCTCCTGCCTCAGCCTCTTGAGTGCTGAGATTATAGGTATGTGCTTTGCTTACCAGTCAGACTTACTGCTCCGTGTGAAGGCTTTTGAGAAAAGGCGCCTGGCAGAAAATGAAAATTTAAAGTTTACTATGAAATCAATCTGTCGAAGTAGAGCAAAATTATCTGAGAAAGGAAGCAAAATAGAAAACTACCATCTTTTCTTGCAATTGTTTTTTGTTTCTTGCTGAAATAAACCACAGCTCTAGCTGTGTGGGCAAACAGACACCAAAGGAAGGCAGGAAGGAGTAGTGTTCTCAGCCTCCGGGGCCAGGGCAGCAGACAAGTGCCAGTGACCCTTTGCTCTTGCAGCGATTCCTCAGAGGTCACTGTGGGCTCTGGTTGGCCGGCAGCTCCCTGAGCCCCGAGCAGGACAGGAGCTTGGCTGTGTCTACAGCCAGCATGAGAGTCAGCGAACAGCGAGCACCTTCTAAGAAGCCTCCATGGTTACTGCATTTGCTTCATGCCGAACATACTTGGAACAGAATTTTGACTTCATGAAATGTTGAAGTACTCTTGTTCCATCAAAACGTGCCCCATGATTTCACACCATCTCTTTGCTTTCCTGCTGGCTCCTCTGACCTCTCTCCCAAAATAATTTTAAGTCATGGTGATTACATTGGAAATTGGTGGATTTCTCCCATGTTATATTCTTGAGGCATCCGCCACACTATTGGGTAGATAAGTTAAACTAGTAGGATGAGAAGTTGGGCGCTAAGTTATCTCCTTAGAAAGCTGGGGGTGGGGTGGGTGGGCTGCCCTAATGCATTAGGCCTGAAAGGATTCCCAGATGCTTGCATATTGTTCCTCCTGTGGACAGGTGATTCACGTCATAGACTTGGTCTGGATCGATTGTACCCATTTCCCAGGTGGGAAAAGTGAACCTGGGAGTGGGTCTTAGGGGCTTGCTCAAGCTTACACAGGGCGGTGGTCCGGCAGCACTACCGGCTCAGATGATTGGGAGGACTGGAGGGCAGGGATGATGATTTGAACACAATTCTTTTTCTCTTAGTGGTTCCTGAGAGACAGAATTATCATTTTTGATCAACAAACCAAGCCCGGAACCTGATGGGGTGGAATGCTGACGGCTCTCCTACCCGAATTTCCCTTTAGTATCTACCTTGCGGCTGAGCTTTCCAACCACAGGACCTCTTACCTACCAAAACGTGAGTTGTTTGCTTTCTTGATGTTGTAACATTAAGGTGAATGGTTCTGAACTTGCCCCAAATAGCAGAGGTGGGTGGGCAGAAGGTGAAACAAAATAAGTTAGAAGACTTAAAAAAGTAACCTAAAATATAAACCCTAACTTTTAGTAGGATGAGATTCCAAGGTAGTTGTGCAAATCAGCAAGCCGGACTCCCTCCTCTGGGACTCACTTGGCTAGACCAGCAAAGACTGCACGTGCAGCCCACATTTAGAGCTAGACCCTGTGGTTTCTGACCTCGCTGGTTGCCAGGCTGCACCTTTTCCTGGCACCCTCAGAAGGCAGAGTCTGAGGTGCTCCTGAGCGACCTGGTCCCATGCACACAGGCACAAGCAGTCTGGGACTCCACAGGTTGAGGGTGGCTGGCCACAGAGCCAGGACCAAGACTCAGACCCTGGTGCTCCCTGTGTGACTCCAGGGGCCAAGGCGGTGCCCGGAGCTCAGCCTTGGCTCTTCACTTCTGCAAGCAGCGAGGGTCCAGACTTCCACACCTTGGTCTCGTCCCCGTCCATCTCAGCCACCTTCTGTCAACACTCATGCTTTCAAACAATTGCTTTATTTTTCTAATTGTACATTGCATGGGGTCCAGTGAGCTCATTCGCTACTAGCACACAGTGCGTGACTTCCTGTGGGGAAACAAGCATTTCTGTCTCCTTAATCATCACTTTGCAGTGGGAGCCTTCGAACTCCTCTAGCTCTTTGTAAAATGCATGAGAATAGCTGTAGAACACGCGGCCCCAGCTGTGCTCTAGAACCCCACGGCTTATTCTTCCTTGCTCACTGGGACTTGGTGCCCGCTACCCCAGCCCAGGCCTTGCTTTTGAGAGCTGATCCTCTGGTCTCCTTCCTTTCAGATGGCTTTCCTGAAGATGAAGTTCATGTATGCCTGCCTGCTGGGGATTGGGGTGCTCTGTCTGTACTTCAGCATAGGTCCTTTTAAAGGAGGAATATTTATTTTAAAAAAAAACTACGGGCAATTCCTTCAGCTCCCGGGTATCGACTGCCGGCGGAATCCCCCCTTCCTCATCCTGCTGGTCACGTCCTCCCACCAGCAGGTGGCAGCTCGCAAGGCCATCCGGGAGACATGGGGCGGAGAGCGGGTGGTGACAGGACAGCTGGTGAGAACCTTCTTCCTCCTGGGGACCACGGCCAGCAAGAACGAGATGACAGTGGTGGCCCAGGAGAGCCAGCAGCACGGGGACATCATCCAGAAGGACTTCAAGGACGTCTATTTCAACCTGACCCTGAAGACCATGATGGGTATGGAATGGGTCCACCGCTATTGTCCGCAGGCAGCTTTTGTGATGAAAACAGACTCAGACATGTTTATAAACGTCCACTATCTGACCGAACTCCTACTGAAGAAAAACAGAACGGCAAGATTTTTCACGGGCTACTTAAAGCTGAAAGAGTTTCCGATCAGGAACAAGTTCAGTAAGTGGTATGTGAGTCCGTCCGAATACCCGTGGAGCAAGTACCCGCCCTTCTGCTCCGGTACTGCCTACGTCTTCTCCAGTGACGTGGCGAGTCAGGTGTATAACATCTCCAAGAGCATCCCATTCATTAAGCTGGAAGATGTGTTTGTGGGGCTCTGCCTGGCCAAGCTGGGGATCCGGCCAGAGGAGCTCCACTCCCGGCAGACCTTCTTTCCCGGGGGGTTGCGCTTTTCCACCTGCCGCTTTAAGAAGGTGGTGGCCTGTCACTTTGTCAAGCCCCAGGAGCTGCTCACCTACTGGCAGGTGCTGAAGACTTCAGAGGAGGAAGACTGTCAGGGTGTCTGAGCGGGCCCCACGGGCACATGGGTCAAACTTCTGGTAACCCACAGGGATGGCTTGGGGAAGATCTGGCCGGCCTCGCTGGGTAGGGAGGGAGCAGGACGGTGAGGGTGCTCTAGATCCAGACTTGGTGAACGAGGGCGCTTAGGTGCAGCCACTGTGGCTTTCCACCACACCCCCGCACCAGTGGATCCCATCTCTCAGGCACCCACCCAAGGTGCTGTGTGCTTGACACATGCGCCCATTTGATCACTTCCGGGCTCGTACCTATGTGAAGCTATGGATGCTGTCACTCCCCTTTTCAGATAAGGAAAAACAGCTGAAGAAGCACAGTCACTCGTCTGCAGATGGCCTCCCCATCCCTTTTCAGAGTCCCCCAGCCCAGCTCCCACCCTGAGGCTTTTTAGTGTGAGCCCGGGACCAACCTCTCCCCGCCCTGGGGTGACATAGTGGGGCACTGAGTCCCGGTTAGTGACTCCGGCCGGTTAGTGACTCCGGCCGCACATCTCCCAAAGCGTGTCTCTGAAGACCCAATTGCCTGCAGTTGCCATGAGCACACTGCTGACTTCCAGTGAGCACCATGTCTCCTCCAGCTGCTGGGGCACCTGGTCTCCAGCAGCCAGTGTCCTTTGTCTTGCATTGATGGGACCGACTGAGGGCTTCGGGTCTCCGAGCTCAAACTGGAGGGCAGCTGGGCACCAGGCACTATCTACCCAGGCTTTCAGGGCATTTCTGGCTTTCCTTGGGTCTAAGTCGAGCCGCTTGATCACAGGGACCACTTAGGCACAAAGCACCCACGGCCCCAGGTCCAGGGATGGGTCCCTGTGCCTCTGTCCCAAGCCTGAGCCCAGCTCATGTGCTGAGCTTGTTGTGTGGCCAAGGAACCACCGAATGCCCCGCTCTGGAGTTTAGCTTTGCATTTTGTCTCCCCGGAGGTTTGCATGAGCCTGTTTAGCAAGGCTGTGTAAAAACTGGGCAGGTTTGTGCGAGGTCCTGAAGCCGTTCATTTGGCCGCTGTCACAGGGTGTGCATGCTCTGCACCCGAGGAAAGATGCAGCTGGAAGCAGATGCTGTCCTCCTCTGCTGCTGAGCTGAAGGGCTTCCCACGCTCCGCCTCCCTGAGATGCTCACTTTAGTGACACCAACACCCCTGGTGTCTGGCTGAGGAAACTGAGGCCTGCGAGCCACACCCTGTTCCGGGTCCCATTCAGGGGCCCCAGCTCTGCTGAGGTGGCTCTTCAGTGCGCGGTGACCCCGAGCTGCTGAACCCTGGGCGGTTCTTGGTCATCAAGGCAGTGCTGCCCCTGATGCTCTCTCGCCCCAGCTCTAGGACCCTGTGTGCCCTTAGCCTTGCCCCTCTTGGCTGCTCACGCCTGTGCTGCTCCCTTCTCTGCTGTGACCCTCTGGGCCTGGTGTCCCCAGGCTCAGCCTGGACCCTGTGTCTGCTCATTCTGTCCTCAGGGCCTCATCCTGTGCCCTAGAGCTCAGTGTCCTCCTTCTGTTCCTGACACCCGTTGGTCTCCAGGCAGAACATCCTCTTGATCTTTGGTCTCACGCATCCCACTGGCTACTTGATTTCGCCGGATGAGCAAATCTCACTCTGAACTTCGGGTTAACCCCAGGAACCCACACCTGCAGCCTCGCAGTGTCAGTGCAGGGCCCCTCCAACTTCCCGTGGAGCCACCTCAGGGCAGACTGCTGGCTCACCTTCCATCACATCTGCCCTACAGTTACCGCGGCTGCCACCCTTGAACACGTCCCTGTCATTTCCCTGCAGTTCCAGCAGCAGACCAAGCTCCTGTCTCCCTGAGCTCTAGGCCTCAGTTCAGCAGCCATGCGAATCTCTCCTCCTGGCACCCAAAGGCACACGGAGCCACAATCTGAAGCTGAAGTCCAGACCTTCCTCTCTCAAACCCAGCTACCCCCAGTCCCAGGTCTCGGGGACACCGCCACCATCCCTCCACCCTTCATCCCTGCAGGCCAAGGCCATCCCTGTGACCTGTCCCTGTGGGTTTGGCCTCTCCCTCCATGTCCACCCTGGTCACCTCTGTTCCGACCACCGTCTTGGTTCAGCCTGACTCAGGCCCTTGGGGCTGTCCTTCCTCCTTCCAATCTGTCCTTCACTTTACCTCCAGATAGTTGTTAAAAAGGAAGTCAGATTGGAAAAGAAGAGACCCAGGGAAGCCGAGTGGCTTGTTCCCAGGTGCCTTGTCCCTAGAACAGCGCTTCCTGGCCTGGGATCAACAAGCATGGAGGCCACCTCCCCACACAGGCTGCAGGAGGGTGACACGTAGCCAAGAGCAGCAGTTCCCGATGTCCTGGCCTATTTAGTAACCTTAGCCTGCAGAGTTCGCCATGGCCATGCTGCCCATGGGCCACCTGCCTGGCAATGCCCAGCTCCTGCTGGGCACCCCGCACTGCTATGCTATTCCGGAGGGCTGGCACAAAGCTGAAATGGGTTTTTAAGCAAAATTTATTTTCATGCCAATTTTTGATTCCCTTGAGGGTAGTTATTTTTGTGCAGAAAAATTATGCACATGTTTACTTTGGTTTTAAAAGTAATGTGTTAAATTTTTTCCCAGGCTTTAAACTTGAACAAGCAAAGCAGGTGGAAGGGACCCTGGGTATACTTTACACACACGTGTGCACCCACCTAGCATGTGGCAGCCCTAGCAGCCACAGATCAGAGCGTGGACTCAGCCTGCTTTCTCAGAGGGACAGCTGGCTTCTCTGGCCCTTGCAGGGACCATGCAGGTGCAATCCTTGCAGTGCTCCAGACCCCATGTGACCGGAGCCAAAAAACCCAGATGTGGACACCAGGCTGCTGTGTACCTGCTGAGGAAGCTGAGAGAAAAGCCTGTCTTTGTTGGTTTTCTGTTGCTATAACCAAATACACACCTGGGTCATTCCCCAACACGGACTTTTGTGAGATGCATTCGAGGCACAGCAGTCCACAGAGAGGAAATTAGCGTGGGGAGAGGAGACCACTTCCAAGCCCACATGAGCCCATCAGGGAGACCCCATCTCACTTGGCCTGTGGCACATCTTAGGTGTCACCTCCAGGTTTGAACATGGCTGTGCAGCTTGCTGGCTCTGGAAACGGGGTTCTTATTCTCTGTGGACCTCAGGTTCTGCACCTCACTAAAAGCAGTGATAACTTCCACCTCAGAAGTTTGTGTGTAGAGTGGGAGTCACCTAAGAGAATTCCCCTCACATTCTCAGCACCGCTGTGCCCGGAATGGGGCACAGGTTGGATGCTTGAGCTTTTGTTTTGATGTGGCAACCTGCAGTGTGGCCCGGCAGTGATGGTCTTGCTTGGTTATTGCTCCAAATAGTCTTGATTGGTGGGGGAAAGCTGTGTGGCTTCTAACATGTGGGTTATGAGGGAGAGGGTCTGATGAGACAGCACGCCCAGGAGTGATGCGGCTGTCATGCGAATGAAAGTTGTAGTCACTCGGCCCTAGTGCCACATTCCCCTCAAGTGCTGGGTGTGAGACAGTGAATTCCCTCCCTGCTTTAGGGTGAGTGAGGTAGACCAGGGCAGGACAAGGTAGCCAACACCCAGCTTCCTGGTCTTCAGAATCTAGTGCCCCAGGGTGAGGTTTTGTGAACCTTAACCCCAGGCCCATGTTATGCACACTACAAGGTCTGGCACCTGGATGTGAATTTTAGCTCTCACTCTACTGAGAGACAGCTAATTTGCCTTCTCTTTGTCTTAGTTTTCTCTTCTGAAAGATGGGACAATAGTAGTTCCCACCTCCCAGGGTTCATGTGTGGGTTAAATGAGACACAATAGAAATTGCATAATATCCCATAGTAGGTGCTTAATAAAGGGAGGTGCTCATGGTCCCAGTTGGGTTTGGGCTGTGAATTTGAGGGACTGGTAAGGTGGCATGCACAGCGCCACCTCTGTGTGCGGAAGTGGTGATCATCTATGTGCAATGAGAGGTCCATGGACCTAGTCTTGAGGGCTTCATGTCAGCTCCAGTTCCTTTCCTTCCTTCGTCTCTGTTGGGGATGGAACCCGGGGCCACATGCATGCTGAGCATGTGCTCTGCCCCAGAGCCTCACTCTAGCCCTCCTTTCTTCCTCCACAGCATTCCTGGAACTCCTGGAGAAATTCTCCTCTCCAGGACATGCTTCAGACCACAGGGCACCGTGCTCTGGGCTTTGCTAGTTCAGGGATGTGACAATCTGAACATGGGAAGGGAAAACTTGGGGTAGTGTGCAGCACTGAAGACCAAACCAGCCAGCCCTGCCTTTGATGAGAAAACCAAGGCTCAGAGCAGCAGAGAGACTTGGCCAGGCCTTCTGTGTGTGGCGCGTCCAGGACTGGAGCCTGGCGTTGGGAGCCCTGCTGGCCACTCACTCCTATTCATCCACTCGCTGGGTAGATCAGCGCAGGGCTTCGATGGGCTGGCATGGGGCCCAGGCTGAGGGGTGATGCTGAGGGGGTTTTGCAACCAGAGCCTTCCTGAGTCCCCAGTGCGATCTCTTGGCATCTGCTCAGTGCCGTCTCCGTGCTCAGATGTGGTCAGCCATGTCCCACCTGCTGTTGCATTGAGGACACCCAGCTGCTCCTGTGAGCAGCCCTGCCCGCTCCACCTGAGCATGGTTGGCAAGGTTGGCATGGTTGCCATGTCCCTCACATCCTGCTTTCCCCACAGCTCAGGACTCGTCCCATCCAAAGGCCGTTGGCTCGTCCCTTAGCTGCTGCCCCTCTTCTGTGAGTGTTGCCATGACCGTGTCTCTGCTCCTTCCTGGTTCTATTTGATGTGCTAAGATGTGACCCTGGGCCATGCATGGCATTCCCCAGACCCTGTCGTTTATCTGGGGGCCTCCCTGCCCAGCCCTGTGCTGAGGTCACTTAAGCTTCCTAAACTACTGGCAGAACCTCAGCCCTTTTCTGTCAGCCTGCTTCCCTCTCTCCTTCCCTAAAACTTCACAGAACAAAGCCCTGGGCCCAACACTGGGACTGTAAGTGTCTTCAGGTGCGTGTGTGTGTGTGTGTGTGTGTGTGTGTGTGTGTGTGTGTGTGTGTGTATGACAGATTTGGGGGTCTTTATCAAAGAATCAGCTCGTTTGTCTCCTAGGGCCTTCCTCAGCTATCAGGTGTGAGGATGGCACTTGGGAGGTCTCCTTTGTCCTCACGTTTGCTCAAGCAGTTGCACACTTACTCCAACGCGGGGAATGGTCCCCAGCCACGTCATTCTGAGATTTCCCCATACTCCGAGCTTCAGGCAGAGGGTTTAGAAAGAGCGACATAAAGCGAATCGTCCAACATCTTGCTTGTGTTTTCCACAAGCAAAAGCTGTGCATTCCAGTCCTCTCCTCCATGTAGCCTGGGTAAACAGTTTTGAAAGAAAACAGCCGAGCAGCCGAGACTCCCCTGAGCGGCCCATGCCGAGAGCCCACGGCTCTGTGATAGACTGAATTATTCAGCAGCCCGATTTCATACGACAGCTGCCGTGCATCATGTTAAAAATAGATGAGATGAGGTTTACATTTTCTCTGTGTCTCCTACCTGGAAGTACTTTTTATTAAGAATTAATTCCCAGCTCTTTTCATAGCAGAAATGACATTTTAGCCACTGCCATCTCCCGGTAGATGGAAGAGGTCCTGAAGGACCTTCTGCCTTGCTCTGCCTGTCTCTCCTGAGGCCTGCCAAAGAGAACTTGGGAACAGGAATTTCTGTCCATTTTTCTGCTTTCGAAGTCCAGGTCCTGAGGTGGGATGGATCCTCAGATCAGCCCTGAAGGTGAAGAGTGGAACTGTCCTCCCAGCCTGGGGCAGAGCCACACCAGGATGCGTCCAAACAAAACATTAGTTTTTCATTCACTTTAAAAACTGGACACTGCCTGTGAGACATAATTAATTGCTTTTAAATACAAACAGAAGAGGTCTAGGGGTGTAGCTCAGTGGTAGAGTGGTTGTCTAGCATGGCTGAGACAAATTTTAAAAATAAATAAATCCAAGTAGGGAAATTGATTTCATTGCCAAGGGTATTTTTGTTTTTCCAGTACTGGGCCCAGAGCCAGGGCATTTGCACTAAGCTGCATTCTAGCTGTCTCTTTTTTAAAGTTTTAAATTTTGAGACGGGATCTTGATAGGTCACTCCTTTGCACAGGCTGAGCTCCGACTTTGGATCCTCCTATTTCAGCCTCCCAGGGTGCTGGGGTTACAGGAGTGTGCCATCATACCTGGCTTGTTTCATTTCTGTGTGGTTTTATTTTTGGTGCTGGACATAGAACCCTAAGCCTCCACCACTGAGCTGTACCCTGTCATGCTGTTTTCACAATCCTCTCTCCTACTTTCCTTCACCGATTTAAGGGATCAGTGCTCCGTGTGTGCAGAATGTAGATGGCCAGCATGGCACCCACGCCGTGGGGGACATAAACACGAGGCCCACTGGCTCAGAGCTCTCATCGTTTAAGTCCCCAGAGGAGGTAAACCAAGAAAGTAGTGATACCCATGGTTACATTCTGCTTTGCAAAACAATCAGCTGGGTCAATCTCTGTTGCTTGTCTCTTACAAATAAGACATCATAAATATCCAACACCACTGGAAATTACTTAGCACTAACAGAGGAGACTTCGTTGTCAAAGTTTGCTTTTCTTAAAAGATAAGAAACTAAAGTGAATTTATATGTTATTGAATGTCATTTAAACTGTCATTTCCTTGTATGTTAAGGGGGTCTTCCAGAGTCTTACATATCACACATGGGAGTGGGCATATGTATTTATTTCTGATTTGTTAAGTATAGTATTTATCTTTAATGAAAATGTTAACATAGAATCATGCCCTTGACTCAGGTAGTTCCGAGTTGTAAATGCATAAGATAAACTTGTGCTCTTCCCAAAAAGTCTGCAAGGTGCAGCTGAAAATGGACCATGTTTTTATTTTCCCATTGATATTTTCTGTATTTATTTTGTGTTTGGAAAAATATTTTTTAAATTGACCTTTGATTTTATATGTTTAGAAAACTACACTGAACAATCTTGATGTGATAATCTTTGTAAGCTATAAGGACTTCTGGTTTGCCTTGGGCTTGGAAGCAACGCAATGGCACTTTACAGTTTGGAAGGTCTATGGGGCTGGTTCTAGGTGGGCAGGGAAAGGCAAGGTCTCCTGTTGGGAATTGTAAGTCAAGGGCATTATGACATGGGCATCTTTTGGAATTTTGTTCTCTCAGGTATATTTTCCTATCATTTAATTTTAAGAAATCAAGAATTATGAGTTGATATGATTGGAACTTTGGCGTCTTGGATGATAACCCATCTTTGAGGTACAGATTGGATCCTTGATCTTTCTGAATGCCATCGCAATGGAAATAAAATGGCGGAAGCAGATTATTAGTATTCCTTTTTGGCTTTGATATGTATTTGTCACAATTCTTGTGGTACTGCAGACCTGGAAATCTTTGTCTTTCCTTCCCTCCGTGACAATGTGAGGACTGTCTCTGGTCCCCTGAAAGGCTGGTCCTGTGTGCCTGCCTCACTCCTCTCCCCTCCTTGTGGACATCAACTCTGTTCCCACCATCATCTCTTCTTTTCCCACTATAGCCCTAGCACTCCCTCCCTTCTAGAACATTCAGCACAGCAATGTGCTCTCACACTTACTCTCTTTATGAGGTCCTGTTCCCCACCCACAGGACCTTGATTAACCTTAGTCACTGCCACAAAGGTCCCATCTCAAAACACAGTCTCATTCTGAGGCCCTGGGGGGGGTTAGGGCTTAGCATAGGAGTTCTGGGAAACACAACTCGGTCATAAGAGTTGTCTCCTGTCACTCATTCATTCTCACGTTGCACTGTACTTTTACCCATCCACCTTCTCTCCCCAGAGGCTGCAAATTCTCTTCTTTGTGCCTCTTGTCCACACCTCCCTAGTACATACAGCAGCATTTCTCAGCAGTGTTCAGTTTTATGATCCCATGGTTTGAAAGAACACAGACGGATTTTATGGGCTGAGGGTTGGGCCTGGGACTCCACTGGCCTGGAATAAATGGGGCTGCTGGGTGTTCCCAACCAGGAGAGGGGGAAAGGAGGAAGGGCTGTAGCCCCTAGGGTCTTGGCAGGATGAATGGGAGGGTAGGGGCTGGGCTCAGGCCCAGCATCCTCTGATGATGTGACATGGGCTTGGGGCTTGAGCTTGAATTCATTTCTCTTTGCTGTAGCCCAAGGAGTCGTGGCTGCTTCAAAGACAAATCAAGACCATTCTTCCCCTTCTTCATGAGGACAGATAGGAGGGAAAGGGGTTTGATAAACCGTATAGGAATATAGCCTATCACAGTGACACCTTGAATTTGTGGGGACTGACATAGGGTCTCCAGGATTTTAATTTTTCTAACAAAAGCCTTAAAAATCTCTTCTCTTACCATGTTGCATTGACCCATCCTGGGTGCTACCTCAATATGGTAAACTGTTCAGATGTTCTTAGTTCATAAGGATGCAAAGTAGACTCTTCATATAAATAACAGAATTTGAAAAACATGTCCTTTAGTTTGGGTATTTTTAATGATAAGTGAAAGAAACAAGTCTAACTGTCTATAATCAAGAGGCAATTTATTGGCTCATCAAGTTGGCCAGGTGCCTGGGGACCTCACGGGCCAAAGGGAGAGCTGGGATGTCGGTTGAGGGGACCCCAAGGATGCTCCCCTCTGATTTTGGGTGCAAGCAACCTCATTGTCTCCTGTGGAATCAGGAATCCCAGTGACAGACCGGGGACCCCAGGTGCCTGGCCTGCAGAAGGAGAAGCCTTCCTTACCAGCTTCGTGGTTCAGTCTGCAGGATGCTGCCTGGTCTGCAGTGTCACAGGTCCAGGCCCCAGGTCAGTCAATGCTACAGAGGGAAGGCAAAAGAGCGCTACTCAGATGGAGTAATACAAGCTCACAAGAGATTGTTGGGCAAAGCTCTGAAAACAGAGCCAATAAAGCCATGATGGTAAGGTGGATGTGGTATGCGTGTGTCTTTAAGAGAAGATTCTAGAACATGCTTCTTCAAACCTACTTCTTAAGTAACTGTCTAATTTTTCTTCCCATAAGTCCATTAGTCCTGAAAATCTTAAATAGCCGCTAAAAATAGCCTTATTGTGTGTTAGTAATTGATTATGGACATTATTTCATTTAATTCCCATCTGAATTATGGCTAAATTTATTCATACATTATGACAGTCATAATAGTGCCTGAATTGGATTATTAAGACGCCAAAGGAAAGTAACCAGTGAATCAGCGCTTGCCTTCACATTGGCCTGATGGTTCCTTCCAGTCACGCAGAACAGGGAATGAACAAGGAAACTAGTGTGGTCATGAAATCATTAGTTCTGTCCCGTGAAGCAGAACAATAAGGAACCAACAGAGAGGAGTCATTTGGGTGGAAAATTGCAGGGACATACACCCTTGGCTGTCTTTACAGTTCTAGGTTGTTCTATTCTGTAGGTTCAGCCCTCATGGCTGATTTCTATAACCCAGGACAGAACGTCCTTGTCACCTGGCACCATGGCCAACAGGAAGGCCACTCCCAGCCCTCACATGACAGATGCTGCTTTCTGTTCTCCCGTGGTCTGAGTACCGGTGTGGCTCTGCAGCCTTTGGCAGCACTGTCCTTTGTCTGTACAGATGGAGATTGGAACTCAACAATTAGATTCCTTTCAGTGATGCGAACCAGCTGCACCTAATTAGATCACATTGTATTAGTGCGTCTAGCAGCAACACTTTGGCTGATGCTTACTCATCTCAGATAAGAAGCCAGGGCCATCATGAAGGGAAAGACCTTGGAAAGGGGCTAGTCCAACATCCCTGTTATTCAGTCAGGTGTGCTGAATCGCAGCTCATTTGGCTGCAGGAAACAACACCAGAAAAAAGGCCTCTCTGCTAATTTCTCTATACTTTGAACTGTTTTAGATTTTGAATACTAAATGAAATCATAGCATTTAAGATCTTATGTTAAAAAACTGTCACCCTTCTGTATAATTTGCTTATTCTGCAAAATATAAGGAAAGGCCCAAAGCATAAAACTGTCCCTCCCAGGTGCTCGGAGGTTTAAATATTTTGCCCAAGTCATATCGCTGGAAATTGACCCTGGAGTTCTCACTCCAACACCACTGAATTAATGCCTGGAATTCAGATGAGAGGTTAAGTTATGTATGTCTTAAGGGAGGTCTGGTGTAATTATACACTTAGTTTTCCAGTAGCATATTGACTGGAAAGTGCTATGCATTCATTCAACAAATGTATGTTTAAAGCTCACAGTGTTCCAGAGTTCCTTCCTGCCTTAGTTACTTTCTTGTTGCTTGGAAAAAAATACCCACAAGTTAAAGAGGAGAGTTTTGTTTTTGGCTCAGTTTTTAGAGGTTCCTGTCCATAGTCAGCTGGCTCCAAGGCAGGGCAGCATGTCAGAGGAGCCTGTCAGAGGAGAAAGAGCTCATGGCCTGGCAGGCAGGAGGAATAGAGACATCAACGGAGGAGGGGTACATATACCCCCTTCCAGGCCACACCCACACTGACCCATCCCTCCCCACCAGGCTTCACCTCCCAACATTGATCGGGAAAAGTTTTAGATAATTTAATAGATTGACTGTTAAGGTAGTTGTAGAAGCAAAATGAGCAATGTGTTCTTTTAAGATTTGCTTTTCCCATAACTCCTTGTTTAAAGTGACGGTTATCTGACTCTTTAACCAGTAACTTCATTAACCTAACAAAGTTGCAACGTCAGGGTGAATTTACAATGTATGTGTGCCTATCTTGTGTCTGTGATTTGTCAATAGGAACTGAAATTGTATTTACACATCAAAGACCACTAGGGATGAGATAATGGCTGAAAAGGATATAAAAAGGGAAACCCTGAACACAGGGGGCATGGATACTAACCAGACCTGTTTCTGGCGTTCCTGCCCACTCGCGAGAAGAAATTTTATTATTTTATCCGAATTCTGTGTCTCCGTGTATTTCTTCCCGAGATTTCTGCAACAACTTCACACCCAGCTATAAACCCAGTAGCACACACCCATGATCCAGTCACCTCCCAAGTGCCCATCTATGAGCACCTGAGGCTATGGGGGCACAGTTAGATATAAGCCATACCACTACTTTCATGGAATTTATTTTCTGTAAAGAAAAGGGTGGGTAAGTGAGGCTTTGAGAATGCTGTGGGCTACTGACAGAGAAGGTGCCCACCCTGTTCTTGAGGTACTGGCAAGGCTTCCCAGAAGAAGTGACAGCAAACCAGAGGCGGACTCATGTGGGAAGAGCAGGAGGGCTTCCTGGGGAGAGGCCAGCATGCAGGAAGGCTGGATGGGGTCAGAGCATGGTGGGTGGGGAAGAAAATACCGATCAGTACCACAAGAGCACGGAGTCCAAAGCAGCAGGACCAAGGGATGGGACCTGCTAAGGGCTGAATGTCTCTGTCCCCTATTCACAGGCTGAAGCCTAATCCCTCATGGAGCCTTCTTGGGAAATGGGGCCCTCTGGGGGGTGATTAGGTCTTGAAGGTGGAGCCCTCAGGGATGGGGTCAGGGCTTCTACAGGAAGAGACACAAGCAAGGTGACCTCTTTCTGCTGCGTGAAGGTGTGGCAGGAAGGCCAAAAAGGTATTTGGTGCAAACTGGGAAGAGTGTGCTCTCCAGGAACCAAAATGGCCAGCACCACAACCTCAGACTTCCAGGCTTTAGAAGTGTGAGAAAAAAATGCCCGTTGTTTAAGCCACCACCTATGCTATTTGTTAGGGCAGCCCAAACTAAGACAAGACTGGATGGACACCCTGGGGCCAGATGGTGAATGGCTCTGTAAGATGTGGTGAGTAGAATTTTAATGGTCCCCAATGGGTCTTGGCCTCATCCCCAGGACTGAGTACAAGGAGATGTGGGTGTGATTATGCTACATGGCATGTGGAAGAGATGGAGCGGGGATAATTAAGGCTGCTATCAGTTGGGTTTGAGTTCATCAGAGGGGACCTGATTCGGTGAGTCCAAACTATAGGCTCTTTAAGGGCAGAGTTTGTGCTGGCTGCCAGCAGGAGAAGAAAACAGAGAGATCCCAAGATGGAGAAAGGTTCAGGATGCTCTTTTTCTCCCAACGATGGAGCAGCCATGTAGCAGGGAATGTGGAGCTCCTCAGCTGGCAGCCAGCAAGGACACAAGGACCTCACACACACAGCTTCTAGGAGCAAACTGGCCAACAACCTGGCTGAACTTGAGAGCAGATTTTACCCAGAACTCTGGTTCAGCCCAGCCTGGCAGATAGAGTGTGGCTTCGTGAGGGTCCTGGCTGAGAACCTGTGCCAGCCTTCTTGCCTACAGAACTGAGAGGCAATAGAGAGGTGTCTTTTAAGCTGCTAAGTAACTCATTATTTAGTAGCCACGG